TGCGTCACTTGGGGGACTGCCGTCCCCCGTGATTAAAAAAATGCTAAATAGTGATAAAAATTAAAACAAAACAGATAAATACAAAAAATTTGTTATGGATTATAGATATTTTAAGCAGTTGGAAAATTAATTTATGAAATTTATATTATTTACATGAAAGGAGAGAAGCAATAATTTTTCTTTTACTATCTAAAATATGCTTGATAAAAATCAAATTGTATTATATTATTGGTAGTGCAACTTAAAAATGTCGTATTTGTGTCAACTTCTTATGTATCATACGCGCCATTTTTTTGACAGTGACAACGAGTGTATCTTAAAGAGCGTCAAAAAAACTATTAAATTCCATCTGTCAAAGTGAATACAAGTTTATACACACGTAGCGTAAGAAATCGTATGGGAAGCGCGGTAAACGAGCAAAATCAACGCCCAAGCAAGATATTTATTGTGCTAAGGTAATGCTGAAAAAAAAAAAGGTAATGCTCTGTATTTGGTGAGATCAGAAGGGTGTCCTCTATTATGAGCTGTTAAAACCGGGTGAAACGATCACGGGAGACCTGTATCGAACGCAATTGATCCGTTTAAAGAGAGAATTGAACGAAAAACGGCCAGAATATGCGACCAGGCATGAGTCAATAATTTTCCATCATGACAACGCTCGGCCTCATATTGCTCAACTTGTTAAAAACTATTTGGAAAATAGTGGATGGGAAGTTTTACCCCACCCGCCGTATAGCCCAGACATTGCCCCTTCTGACTATCACTTGTTTCGATCGATGCAGAATGCCTTGTCTGGAATAAGCTTCACTTCAATTGAAGGTATCAAAAATTGGATTTATTCTTTCCTAACCTCAAAAAATGAGCAGTTCTTTTGGCGCGGAATCCATATGCTGCCAGAAAGATGAGAAAAGGTTATAGCTTCCGATGGCCAATACTTTGAATGACATGTTATTTACAGAATTTATGAAATAAAGTTTTATTTTTACCAAAAAAACGAGATTTTTAAGTTGCACTACCAATATATTTATTTAATTAAATTGTTTTCAATAAACCACCAAGACGAAGGAACGCTGTTCGGTGCAGTTATTATTATTATTAAAATAACTGTTCACCTTTTTCTCAACTTTGTATCTGAATTCCGAAAATTGATTGCGAAACACGTACGTTGCAATGGCACTGTCTGGAAAAAACGTTTGACATTCAATTTTATCACTGAGTTTATATATATATTATTTGCCATTCGATTTTTTGTCGCTTTCATACGGACTTTCATTCGTACATTTAAAGGACGTTATAAATCACAATAACATTCTAATTTAAAGTGATTAAGTCGAATCTCAAGGACATAATTCACTGAACTCGAATGACCTATTTCACTGTCCATTTTCACTGATTGCCAAAGAACAAATCTTCGCTGGGATGAAATGTTTTCGCTTGCTTTAAAAGTTAAATTTGGAGCTCGGTAAAGTCATTCGTATTTCGTTTGAGCAAGCAAACTCGCAAAAATGGTGAAGTTAAATGTTTTTATTTTCGCTGTGTTGTGTACAATATTCTTCGTCCAGATGGCTAACGGTATGTGCAAATAATTATATTTTTAAACAGATTTAAAGAATAAGAAGCAACGATTAAAAAAATAGCTTGAAATTAGTCAAGAACATCAAAAGTTATACATATTTAAAAGTGATATTACAATTTTCAATTGTGATCATTTTCAGCTGGCATGTGCTATGAACCAATGAGAGAAGAAAATTGCGCAAGGAAGGAATGGCGTTACCATTTTAACATGACAACAAGAGATTGTGACGGACAAATGGCATGTTCAGGTGGACCAAATAACTTCAAAACTTGGCAAGAGTGCCACGATGCTTGCATTAAATTCATTCCAATGAAATAATGATTTTTTTTGAAAATAAAGTACAGCTAAATTCGTTAAAGAAGTTTGTGTTTATTTTTATCGGACACAGTTTGTCTCTTGAGTGATGAAATATTTTGCTATTATTAGATGATTTTATTTTTACATTTTTCTTCACACTCTATTTGTTTCTCGTTATAAAATGAGTTGTTTTGAACAGCCGGAGTTAAATTATCTTACATGTGGTCATAGCCTGATAAGAGTGAAACAGAGCATGAACAAAAAAGAGCGACATTTTGAACAGAAAATAGCAACGAATGGGAATGAAAAAAAATGTGATTACTACTAATCCGCGGTCAAAAGGCCAAAAAGTTTTTCTATTTGTGGAGGTCCCCCCTTAGTGTCAATCCTCCAAACTCGTAATTTTTTAACCACCTCTCATCATGCGTTTTTGTTTTGGGAGTTTAAAACATTGCCCCCTTCTACTGTTGAAGTAAATGTAAAATTCTGATGCAAAACAAAACGTAATCTTTGCTTACAAAGTGTGAACAATGTTTTTGTAAGACTAGTTGAGAATAAATGTGGGCATTCACAATCTTGTCTTTAGTAGCGTACGATTAATAGTCACCTCGAGATCATGCCAAAACCCCAAATTGTACCGAAGACACTACCAAACTATCTCTTGGCATTGTGTTACTAAAGACATGAATTCGAGTGCGCGGTTTTAACTGCTGCCACTTTTATTCCCAGCCACTCATAAGTAAACAGTTGATAATTCTAATTTGAATCTAAGTGTGCTGAGAAACACAAGCCATGGCCTATCACTGCTGATAAATGTTTTTTATCACTGCATTGAATGATGTGTTAAAAAGTCATTCGTATTGAATCAATGATCGTAGTTCATAAAACTGTTTTCGTCAATTCATTTTGAATAAGATTAAGAAAAATCACTCGTTCTATAGAAATCGAGCGGAATAACTCGAAATTTCGGTAAAAATGTGTAAATTTACATTGATTATTACAGTTTTGATCATTTTGAGTACAATTTTGGTTGAAATAATTGATGGTATCAATCAAATACTCACAAATATTTAACAAAATATGAAAGGTTTATTGTGTTTACCGATTTTCTGTTGTTTTTAGGGGGGTTTTGTGGTAAACCGGCATTAAATTCACAATGTAGTGCATCCAAAATAAAAAGTCGTATTTATTATGATCCAGCTACGAACAGCTGCAAACAAGGAAGAGACTGTGATGATTATGGCAATGGAGAGTATTTCTTATATTATTGGGAATGTAAAAATGTTTGTATACACGGGAAAAATATAAATTGATACGAAAATACCAGCGAAAATAAGAAGTCTATGCGAAGAAGAAGATATTGAAACCTGCGGAGAAAAATGATAAAGAATTTATGAATGATTCATATTTTGTTTGAGTAAAAATAGGTCGGGTTTTTACATTTTCAGAATGACTTTTTATTATTCAACTTCATTTGAGCTACAATCCATGTGTTTTTCGTATGTCGAATTTTCAATTTTTCCAAATGTTCATGCTTTTATTCAATTTAATGAGAAGTGGATTCCTTTTTATTCCCTTTTTCACATGAAGAAGTATCATATTAATCGGATCTGTTTTTTTCTGAATTTTATTTTTCGCCAGTATGTTTTAATTGAATGTGTCGCTGTAAATCATGCATCAACCATACATGTTTGTAGTTGAAATTTCAAACTGATTGGGAGAAGATTCACAATTTTGCCAAGCGATGAACGCGTTTCATGTGTCTGCTGGCGCAGCTTTTTTGTGCAAAACGAGCAGCACACATTTTGCATGAATATGGCTTCTCCCCGGTATGGTCCGTAATCATGTGATACTTCATAATGGATTTTTCTTTCTTCATCACCAACATTGGTAATGACGAGCACCGCACTTGGTCTCGTGTTCGATTTTCAGGCGTTCTTGAGAGAATGCCAGACGGCATTTTGAACACCGGAAGGGGAATTGATCATGATGTACGGCCATATGTTGGCTTAAATAATAATTTCGTGTAAAACGTTTGTCACAAATGTGGCATTGGAATTGTTTTTCACCAGTATGTTTTGATTGAATGTGTCGCTGTAGCTCCGTCTTGTAAAAACATTTGTACGAACAAAGATAACAATTATATCGAAGGCATGTACAGCGCTCTTCATGGAGTTGTTTTGATTTTGTGGTGGCAAACCGTGTTCCACATTTTGAGCAACCAAACGGCAGCTGGTCTTTGTGAGTGCGTAAGTGTTTTTTCAGGTGATTCTTTGTTGTAAATCCTTTGAAGCAAATCGGGCATTCATTTGGTTTGTCTCCGCTGTGGATTTGCATGTGAGCTTGTAGATTTGATTTCTGTTGTGTATTGAATTCACACAAACCACATTTGTAATGACGACGTTTGCACTTTTGTTCGTGATCATTCTTATCGCTTTCTTCGGCAAACCCATGTTGGCATTTTGAGCAATGATGTGGAAGATTTTTGGTATGGATGATTTTGTGACGATTCAAATCGCTCTTCTGTGTAAAGTTTTTGAAACAAATATCGCATACGAAAGGCTTGTCGCCAGAGTGAACTCGTGAATGTATCAATAATTTACTTTTGGATGGTGCAACATAATTGCAAATGGTGCAATGGTACTTCTTTGCCGCTTTCTTTGCAGCAGTTGGCTGATTATCTTTCTTTCCTTTACCTTTCGGTCTTGTTTGGTGTCTTCCTTTCTTACCGTTTGGTATACCCGATGGCCCATTTTTGTTGTCGTTGTCAGTATTATTCGTTGCGCTTCCATTTGGACTTGATAACAATTTATGCTTTTTCATTTCTTCCTCCTCTACTTCTTCACACTTTATTTCATCTTTCACGCAATTTGGATCGATGGCCAGTTCCATATCGTCGTCCGTTTCGCTTTCTGATTTAATGTCGTTGAATCCTGCGCCATTCGCCTCATTCATTCCTGGTGACGATGTCCTGATCAAACTAAACTCGATATCGTCTGGTGGTTCCTCCTTAACATCGGGCTCTTGTTTGATTTCGGCTGTGGGGTCATTCATTTTGCGTCTGACCCTTCCATCTAACGTTCCTTCGCCTGGATCCGAATCCATTTGCAAACCTTTAGTTTCGAAAAAAAAAAAAACAAAATCATAATTTTTCGCCTTTTGTTAAATTTATTTTTAATTAGCAAATGTCTTTATTGTGGTTTTGTACAATATTTGCCGACCAAACGTCAAACTAATCATATGCGAACCCGCTTCATGTGAACCATTGTGCACAAACTTCATGGGGACAGCGATTAATGTTTTTTTTATTGGGAAACTATCATCAGGCTCCATGTAACTAATTCAACATTGGTCAGGAAATGTCTTACCGAGCAATATCAAATAAAATTGAAATGTTTGCTCAAAAAACTAAATTCTTGTCGCAATTGGGTTGGAGGTTGTGGGCTTTAAGCATTACTACTGCTTTAAGCCGAATATTATGCACAAAACTTAAAGATTTATCAAGGAATCGTTCTGTGTCAACACCAATTGAAAATAACTTATTTGATTCTTACCTTTTAGCTGCCTGCCGCTAATGAGATATTAAATAATGGGATTGGATGCTTTCCACCTTTTTATGACCTTCCGACGCCGAATTTGTGAGCGTGCTTCACAGTACGCAATAGAAAACTGAACGAATGAGGTTAGAGTTTGAGTTTAAACGTCACCTTCAGCATTGTAATGAAGTAACTCATTCGTCCAATTACATTTTTCGTTTCTGTCAATTTGAAACGACTGCCCATCTTGCACAATTTAGCGGTAATTCGGGAACAAATTTTAAAGAACTCATAATAAAAACAGAAAAATAAAATGTTTGAAGTCAGTTTGAAAAGGAAACAGCATATTTTTACAGCAGGTGAACTATCTAAACGAAGAACATTGAACCGAATCGATGGATGACAACTTCATGTCGTCTTCCTTCGTTCAATTCATTGACAGATATCAAATGTATTCAGTTGCGCAGCATGGAAAATTACA